CTTGCTGACGCCTCAGGCAAAATCTTGTTGTTGGAGGCATACAAAAAGAAACAAGCAGTAGCACTAAGGTCTTCACCGCACTTGCTGATGCCTCACGCAAAATCTTGAAAGTATATGGAAATGTCAGTGAGAAGAACATGGTGGCAGCTCCAAAGTTCTTTCGCACAAATGCTCCCAGCCTCGTCTTTCAAGGTTGACATCAAAATGTGAGCTTCGGAAACCTTCATGCCGAAGATCGTGACGAAATCAGCAAAGCCAAAGGATGAAAGAGCTTGGACCGTCGCGCCGTGCCGCTTCATGGCCGGGAAGTAGTGGCCGCAGCCGGCGCGACGGAGCAATTCTCGCAGGACGGACTCCGAAGCAGACAAGGCCTGCGACTGAAGTACATCTGCGGAGAGAGGCGTGGCTGGAGAAGCTCTCGAGACAGCTGGCCCTGGAGTCAGGGTGCCACCGGGCGGACAATGCTGTGAGCGTGTCTTTGGCCGGCCCTTGGGCCGTGGACGCGGCAGCTGGACCACATCGATGGTGTTTTGGTGGAGCATGAGGGAGTACGCGTGCTCGCATGGCCCCCCAGCGTGCGGCCACACCGCAATTGAAGCACAGGCAAAAAGCATGTGGATTGCGATCCGCCTCCGGGCAAAGTGGCGCGCCATGCAGTTGCCAGTACTGCTCGCAAATTGGGCCTTGCACCACCAAGTTCCAATCATCAAAGAGCTTGGCAGCCTTTTGCCACTGAAAGTGTCCGGTGGTGGACTCATACAAACCCAAGCTGTCAAGGATGCTTCGAACTTGGTCGGGGCTTGTGGCCTGCACCAGCTTGACACAGGCATTGACTGTGGAGGGCGCGAGTGGGGAGAAAGACCGTTCCTTGTATTGCTTCTTTTTCTGGTTTGGGCGTGCTCCTGTCCAATCCACCTTCCAGCGTGAGGCAGGAACCAGCATCCAGCAGTTGTTGTCAGCGTCCACAAATGTTTGATGGAAGCCCAGCTCGAGCAATGAGTGAGGTGTGGAACGGCCTTCTGCTGCCAAACTCGATGCGTTGCGCAGCGTGTGCTGGTCGATGAACTGGCCGATGGATGGCCAATCTTGCAACGCTTTGCCTTCTTGTGCCATTTCCTCCAAGTCCAGGAGGGCAGGCTCAACGATGAAAGCTTGCAATTTGTTTGCAATTTCAATGGGCTCGTACTTGGTGGTGGGAAACGACGGTTTGAGCACGTTCCCACGCCAGCTTTCTTGTGGGGCTGACCCGACATCTGCGCCTGGCATGATGCGGTCAGGGCCTGACCGCCATGGGGCTGACCAGAGACGCTGTGGACAGGCTGTTTGGTGGAAGTACTGGTGTTGAAGTGAGACAACCAAGCGTGCATGCCCCAGGTGACCCAAGTAATCGAACAGAGCTGACCACACCACGTGGAAGAGCATGGCAGTCATTCTTTTGGAAAGGCGGCACCATTGCAGAATCATGCTGGTGATGTGCTTGTCATCGCCGAGGCTTTTGGAGAGCAGGCCATGCAACCCGCTAGGGCCCTGGCTTGTGGCTCCTGTAACGTGGGCCCAGTCGGCCAGACGTTGGCTGTTGGGGAGGATGTCCTGTCGTGCTTTTTCAAGGCCCTTGTGCATATCCCCATGAAACTGCGTAATGTGCTGCGGCTGCAAGTCATGCCCCAAAGTGTTTGCTGTCCGCAGGAGGGTGGCTAGAAGATGCTTGTAGGCATCACCATCCTCTGTGTTTGCCAGGGCAAAAGCAAGAGGTCGGAAGCTTGAGCGGTAGGCAAAATGATGATTGCTCTTGCGCTGGGACCAGTTCTTCACATTCACCCCCCAGTGTGAGGAGGGTGTACTGGCCGAACAACAAGCGATATGTACCATCAGCTGAGAACTTCAAATTCCAAGGTTTTGGGAGGAGGTCCAAAGTCAAGTGGAGAAGCTGTGGGCATATCAAGGGAGCGCAGACCATGTCTTCGGACAAATGCAAATCGATGCAGCGGAGCTGCCGGTCCGAGGGGCGAAGGCGAGAGTCCGTTGGTGAGATGGCAGTGGCTCGACCCATGTCTGCGTTGAGGCGGTCACGCAGATATTCAAAGTCTGCTGCAGAGTAGGTTTGCTTGTTGCTATGGGGAATCTCTTTGCTCTGTGCCTTTGTCTTCTGTCTAAAGCGCTGAAGAAAGCCTTGAAGTTGGCGCAAGTTTGGTTTTTTAGGCTTGGTGTCACCTGCCTTCCGCGGCCGCATGTTCGCTAAAAGGCCGTCAATCGTGCGCAATCGCGCCTGGTGGCTTGTGCTTGAGACCAAAGTGCGTTGCCTGTGGGTGAGTGTGCCCCACAACCGCTTCTCATCGGGCGCATGCGCTGATGAGGGCGAAGTGCGGATGAGAATTTGCGGAGGATCTGCCTGTGTGTTGAGGGTGGCCATGCCCGACCATGGACAGTCCTTGCGGCCTTTTTTCTCATCGCAATGTGTTTTGCAAGTAAAACAACAAGTCAAGCCCTTCTTGGTCGGCTTGCGCTTGTGGCACTGGATGGTCAAGCTCTGGTTCAACGGTTGTGCTTGAAAATGTTTGGACACAGCTGCCATGAACGAGGCTTGGTCCGAGGGCCCGCTATGAGTAACGACCTGGGTTTCTGAAAGGGCAGGGCGGCTTCCTGAAGACTTTCTGCCTGCCTTCACGGGTGGCTTGGGCTGGCCATGTTGTTTGCCTGTGTATGCAAAGTAAGATAGGGATCTACACGTGGCATCCATTTCTGCGATGCCGGACCATGTGCAAGTGTTGCGCTTGCAGGTTGCACATCGGAGGCTAAAGGGCAGGAGCTGCTTGAGCTTTTTGCGCTTCAGGGCGGTGGCCTTGACCCGTAGAGTGTCATTCCTCTGCTCCAAGCTGGCGTTGATGCGGCTAGCCACATCAAAGGCACTGAGTGGGAGACCGTCCAGAATGAGCGGTGGACCCAGCTCTTCCCTCTTGTCTGCTTTTGCCTCCTCTGCTCTGGCTGGCGCAGCGTGGGCTTGTTCTGGCGCTGCCTGCTGCTCTTGCGGTGGCTGCGCTTTGTGGCTTTTAGGCTTTGGCTGCTCTGGCGGGATGTGAGCTGCTGGCCTCTTGAAAGTTTTGCCGCTCCCGGTCATGGCTGGAGGTACGGTGAGAAGTGGTAAGTTCAGATGTCTCCTGTTGCTTTCTGGCATGGAGCTTAAGTGGAGGCGCAGCCTCAAAGACTGCTGCGCACTGCCTTCGCGCTGGCCGGCGCCGTAGCGCGCCGCCAAATCAAAGAGGCGCTCCAAGCCATCGCGGTTTGAACGAAATCCGAACCTGGCAGGGATGGCTGTGTTGGCCTGGGTCACGGTTATGTACTGCTGGTGCTGACACTTTTGCAGCAGGATGGCCAAAGCTTTGTCGTCATCGGACATAGGGTTGAGCTGCCCTGCCTGTGATCGCGCGCATGCGCGTGGTTGTCTGGCTGGCCGGGATCCTCGGTCATCCAAAGTCTGTGGGCCAGCTCGCTCGTGGAGAGGAAGCCGCATTTCATTGTGAAGAGTGACCATGTTTCGGAGCGTGAAATGAATGTGCTCTGGGCCGGCTAGAATGTGCTGGGGTGCAATTTGGCGAAGAAAGTCCAAAGGTTGCTGCGCCAAGGCTGCAAGGTAGTCTGGGTCGCCAGCACGAAGTAATGGGAGGTGCGCTCGGTTGGCTGTGCAATGTTCAAAGGCTTTGTGAAGCAGGTGCGATGTAGTGATGTGGGAGGTGGTTGTGAAGCAGTGCTTGCCAACCACACCAGCTGCAAAGTCTGGCACGTTGTCTTTTGCTTGTTCAGCAACTCGGTGGAAAGTCTTCCACAGGATAGCAGCTTCACTGGTGAGTTCTAGAGGGCATGTGTGGAAAGCTCTGGAACCCATGGTGTGTCCCATGAGCCCTGCCAAGGTTGCAAACAAGTCTAGCATGAAAGCTGTTGCGCCCTGGAAGGTGACATGTGGAGAGTTCTCGGCTTCGTCCAGAATCTTTCCCGGGAACAAAAAAGTAGGCCTGAACTCCCAGCCCATGCCGTTGAATGGGCAGTCGGCAAAAAAGCTTTGGCCCCAGTAATCGTGGACCAGCTTAGGCTGCGCGGCATGGAAATATGTGAAATTTGTTGTGGGGATGTAGAAATGCTCAGCATTGATGCTGAGAGGGCCATACGCTTGGCCGTTCTGTGTTCTGTAAGTAGGCCTGATTGATCTTCATAGGCGTGGGTTGCGTTTTGCCTTTGCCCTTTGCCCAGGCAACATCTACAGCTGACCAAGCCTCCTCACTCAACCAAGCAATGTGCCCATCGCTGGCCTTCATGCGGCGTGCAAAGTCAGAATTTGTAGAGTTTTGCACAAACAGAGTCTTGTCCTTGCCAGGCCCTGCGGCGGCAAACTGAGACTGGAGCCTGTCTGTGAGACATTGTTTGCCGGGTGTGGAAACAAACACTCCATCCAAGCACAGGCGGAAAAATGGAGACTTTCCAGTGTTGCTCTCTGCTATGAGTGTGGAGAAAATGCGTGGCCTGCGCTCATGTTCTGGCTTGAGAGGGTTGAAGATAGCATGGACATCTCGATGAACGACCCAGGGCGCAAAAGACATCAGGAAGCCAAAAACAAAATCACGGCCAATGCCGGCATGCTCTGCAAAGCGGCACAGGACCGCAGCAAAAAATGGTAAAAGCTTTGGCAAGGCCAGGGGCTGATGCCAAGCATCTGCAACGGTGCCACCATACGTATGAGAGTCCACTGCTCTTTGCTGAAAGAGCTCCACTTCCCAGGCATGAAGGCTTTCGAAGGTCAGGTTGTAATCTGCAGGTTGGGCGGGCCATGCAACGGGTAAATCCAAAAAGAGATCAGTGAGCGCTGCGACATTCCGAGGTGCAATGTTGCAATGGGCCTCGTAAAGCCTGCCACTCTCAGCTTCTACCGCGTCATGCCTCCCTAGCCAGAAAGCGGAGGCAGCTGCTTGGATGGCTGAGGCAAGAGTGCGTGTGTTCATATGCTGCTGGAAGGTGGAAAGTGATTGGGGCTGCTCGAGGCGTTGAAGTTGGTTGGATGTGTTGGATACTTGCCCTGTCTGGATGGAGGGTTGGTCGGATGTGTCGGGTTGCTCCTGTGGATCTTCAAGATCTTGTAAGTGTAAGTGCAGGGTGCCTGCTGGCAATAGTCGTGTCCATGAGGCAGGTGCTGGCGGTATGGGCATGGGAAGGCCGCACTCCTCCTCGGCCCTTTCAACATCAATCACTCCGTCGATGTGCTGTCTTTGATGGCGGCGATCGGAGGAGCACGCCCAGTCCAAGGCTGCATTGACACAGTCTGGGTGTCTGGAAGCGGCGTCCCTGGCAATAAGGGGTGGCACACCCAGAGAAAGCAATGTATGGTACATGTCGTTGGGTAATGTTGCTGGAGGTGTTTGCGGCGGCGGCCGTTGTGGTGCTTGGTTGTTGTAGTTCGCTGGCGCGCTCTCCAAAGACTGTGCACTGCTGGTATTCACGCGACCAAGCTCCTCAGTAGAGCTGGCCCCAACCATGCTTGGGAGGTGGCGCTGTTGTGGTTGGCGTCTCAGAAATCCACAAATGCAATACGCATAGAGGCCAACGCACGAACAGCCATCATGATACAAATCAACCTGGCCAGCGTTGTCTGCGGCACCCGCGATGTGGGCGGAGGCTGGAGAAGAAGAAAAGTCTTCGATGGGGTCATCGTCGACGTTTTCATTGGAACGTCGAAGCCCAAAGTCTTCGACTGGGTCCTCAACAGCGGCCTCACAAGCAGAACAGGGCTTGATCAGGTCTTCGTCCCGGGAACAAGACAGCCCTCTTGCGCCAAAATCCAAGCTCGAGGGATCAGAACAAGGCAAGTTTTGCGCATGCTGCCGACCTGACTGCTCGTCTGATCTCTTGCTTCGTTTTGCCGGCGGTGTAGCTTCTCGCACGACAGCATCAACAAGGTCAGCGCTTGGCCCCTCACTTTCCGAGGATGTGTCAAGTTGCGTTGGGGCCACCGGAAGCTCATCCGAACAAACGACACAGTCTGGATCCGAGCACAACCTTGGCAGTGAACAGAAGGTCTTGCGGCTAGGCTGTTCCACTCTCTCAATACCTGGCTCCCGCATCGTGACAATCTGAAATGGATGCGTGGGTGTCAGACTGATGTGATGGGCGGCTGGAACTGGAGGTGTGGTCACCGGTGAGCTGGCCTGAGGAGGTGGCACAGGAGGTGGAGGTTCCTGTTGGCAGGAAGAGGCAGAGGCATGGCAACCACCTTCGCGGACAAAACCTCTGCCTAGTAGGGGCGGAAGAGACCCTTGTGCCACGCTCAAACCCACAAGCGGAGGCGGGACCCCCGAAGCAAGATTGGCATGACAAGGCTCGTAATGGCCAACATCAGAGTGCGCCTCTTGTGTGAAAAGCATACATGGAGTTGCCGGGAACACTTTGGCCCACTTGAGTGCGGTGGCATAAGACACAAAGAAGGGAGCACTCTGTGGCAGGAACAAGAAAGCACCCTTGGAGGGGTTGTGAGCTATGAGCAATCCATGAGGATAATGGCACGAAAGGGCTGTGACCAAAATTCTGATTTGGTGATCAGAGGTGGCTGCAGAAAGCAAGGACCAAGCGGCATCCAAATTCCAACCAAGGACTGCTTGCGCAAAGTCAACAGCACGAAGCATGAGGTGTAAAGCGGGGACGCCCGTGTGGAAGCTGCTTGCGAACCACCAGCAATGACTTGAGGTCATGCTGGTCACTGCCGAGACATTCAGCAAAGAAAGGAAAGTACGAGTCTCATGGTTCAGTGGGTCGGAGACCGGACAACTCGAACTGTGTGGTGCATGCGGCTCGTTGATTTGTTGGCATTTGCAGTGCAGACTCGAAATCCATAATTTCCACAAAGACTGCCCCTGGCGGTGCTTCACGCGTCGAATGGCAGAGCGAACAGGGGCGCTGTCCAAGTCCAAGACAGCCAGGTTCTTTGGGCACATAAACTCGGTAGAGTATGCCAGCCGAACAAATTTCGATTCCAAAGCACCACAGTCTACAGGGAGCATGGCATATCCATCCACAACAACCACGGGTCCACCAGTGAGAAAAATGTCCCCCGGGCGTGCGTGGGAGGAGGATTCGTACGATGTTGCGGCGTCAAACAAGACAGCTTCTTCCCGAAGTGTGACAAAATTGGAGCCAGCAGGCTGTGCATATGAAGGTCCAAGCCACAAAGGAGTCGAGAGCCTGAGAGAAAGAATGGCAAATCCATGGACAAAACAGGTGATGGAAGGAGAAGCTTCTGAGCACTCGACAACGAAATGGCAGGCATCACTGGCTGGAAGAA